AAGAATTAGGACAAACTAGCCTTCGTAGAGGACTTTTGATGGAACTAACCCGCATTTGCGTTACAAGGAGAGGTAAATCTTCCATGGTTAGCATGCCGGCAAGAAGAGGTAAATCTTCCATGGTTAGCATGCCGGCAAGAAGATTCTAAGCCATGATCCGTCTACCCCTGAGTATATTTTGTGACAGCACTGTGGCCGATGTGAGCCGGGTGAAAAATTCACATGAACCTGCCAACCCTGGGATTCGAACTTGGATCTCCTCATTAAGAGGCGAACATCCTGAGCCACAACGGCTCCATACAAATTTATTGAGAAATTTCAAAATTAGTCAAATTCTTTCACTACACTTTGGAGGGAAAAAAAGGTTGAAGTGAGCCTAATAACCTGACATTCGTCAAAAGATAGAACAGTGTTTAGGATGAATTCACGAAATTTCAACAAAAACTGTCATTCGCAGCCCAAACAAATCTTTCAGATATTGCTTTTCAGATATAGATCTCTTAGCAAACAAAATAATGTCTCCCCAGCTAGACCTTTATCTATTCCACTTATATTGACAAATTCTATTTTGCTTCTTCTCTATAACATCTCAACTGAGAGAATGTTCATAAAAATATCTTCTCAACCAGGGGTTGTTTCGAACAAACACGGGAAATTCGTTTCCCCCTCAATTTGTCAACGCAGACATTTCTGATAGCGCGGTAAAGGCAAACACCGCTCGCAGTGATGGACGAAGAGTTTCCGGAACCAAATATTGCCTGGTGGGCTGATGACGGAAATTTCCCTGAAACGTCACCATCAGCTTAACTGATCGTCTGAGCAAAAAAGGAAATTCGATGAATTGGGCTGCCAAATAGCTTTTAGTAGATTCTATTGTATATCATCTGTTGATCTCTTAGAGCCTTTATTTCTTCACAGACAGTTTAAGAAACAGTTACCAGAACCCGAGTGTTATAAATTTGTCTCGAAGTATTCTATTATCACACTATATTTTTCCCTATTTTACACCGTACACTGTCATTTATTATACTTTTTGCCATTTCGTTTTAAGTTTAAACGTAAATATATGTTATTATTGAACATTAAATTTTTATTTTCATTTATTATTTATATTTCCCATAGAGTAAATGCATTAGAGAATAGTGAGAATTCTTATCTTCTATTGATATCTTAACGCTTTTATTTCTTCAAAAGCAGTTAAAGAAATAGTTACCAGAGCCTTTAGTGTTCAAAATTCGCCTTGGATTAGCCCGTAAATACTACTTATTTCTTTCTACTTTACATAAAACGCTATATCTAACCACTCTTTACCATTTTTCTTAATTATTTAAATTTCCCATTATGCGAATTTGTAACAGAATTTGTATCATCTATTTTATTTTATTTTATAACAGTCGTTGAAAAGTCGACCCTATTGTAGTTTTACGNTCTACTTTACATAAAACGCTATATCTAACCACTCTTTACCATTTTTCTTAATTATTTAAATTTCCCATTATGCGAATTTGTAACAGAATTTGTATCATCTATTTTATTTTATTTTATAACCGTCGTTGAAAAGTCGACCCAATTTTCGGGCTTACTAGTACTAATGTTCAACTCCGTAGCCTTGTAATTTTGAACTCAATCCAGAAGACAAGGGAACACCTGGATCAAGTATTGGGAGACATTTGCTTTCTTGGAGGACTTTTTGATGTGGCTAACCCGCATTTGCGTTGCATAGAGAGGAATGCCACGAAAACCTCCCACGGTTAGCATCACGACAAGGAGACTTTGGCCTATGTTCCGTCTACCACTGCGGATATTTTGCGTCAGCACTGTGGTCGTTACGAGACTGGTGCGGAATTCGTATCGACCAGCCATAGCTGGGATTCGAACCCGGTTCACTTCATTGGAAGGCAAACTCTCTATTCCCCAAGCAACCACTGTTCTGTATCATCAATTGACCTTTTAACGTCTTTATTTCTTCATAGACAATTAAAGAAATAATTGTCAGAGCCCTGTCACAATAGCCCTGACACTTTCAGAGTCAAAATTCGTCCTTAAAATGTTTTTTTCCTATGCACATAATATAAGTTGAAAATAATGATTTTTGAGTGCTTGAACAATGTTTAATTAAAAACTATTGAAATGTAAACTTATTAGACACGTACTAGGTTAGCTGACACATTTTCATTGACCGGTTATTACCAGGACCCAGCAAAGGAATTTCCCTTCCCGGTACCAGTTTTACCGGGTATCAAGTGCTGTTTAACACTCGTGTAAATACAACACAATCATATTCAAAATTATAGTGATCTTAAAACTATTCATTAAAATAATTGTAATTTTTGAAATCCATGTGCGAGGGCTATTTTTTTTTCAAGGTCCGATTATATGTATACATCCGAAATATATGTCCGATATCAGTTTCTTTACAATGAAGGTGGACACTTTCGAGGCAGTGTGAATGTCTGCTAACGAGAGAGGTGTTCGGGGCTAAGAAGAGGTAAAAAGGAAGGACATGAAAATTCAGAAAATCAAATGCTAAATAAATAAGATAATTAAACCAATACAAATTTAGAAATAGGGAATTACAATTATAAGTTTTTAAAGTCAATAAGAAGTATAAGAAATAAAATTTTTAAGGATTACTGTTATTTTATCAATCTATTTGAAACTTTTTACTATTTCTATGTTAAAAACTCTGGAAGAGAGACAAAAACTAATTAAATTACTATTTTTAAATCATATATCAGAAGTTTCCCTGTTTTGTTATCCTTGCGCAATTTCTACGAAGACGAATTTTCCTATGATTATTAATCTCATTTCAGTTCAGGTAAATTTCCGTTTACGAAGTCATTTATTCTTTCGAAATGACAGCCAATATCATCAATTGCCTGTTAATCAAGGTTTGTAGCTCATAAGGTTATAAAGTTTAATAGAATACCAAAGATTCAAATAGGGAGATTAATAACAGATACTTCAGTAGGTGTTAAATCTAATCACAAATGACTAAAGCTAGGGAAGCTGAACTGATTTCCGTCTGTGAAAATGGACGCGAGATCCATAATTAATTGCTGACTAGTTGATTATGTAGTGTTGAAGATTAAGTCCTACGAATTATGATAATTTTGGAGAAACCCCAGAAAATATATTTGCTTTGGGAAAGGGGGTGTTTATATGTGATTGGCAAACATCTAATTGCTACATTAATTTTAAACAGTATACGCCAGAGCCCAAAGATTCAACTTGTTAATAATATCGTAATCAAATGAAATATAATTATTGACATTCAGTTACCAGAAAAAAAATAACTTTTCGACATTTGAAATTTTGGCATAACTTTTAAATTAAATTAATGCTTGAAATTTTTATACAAAATTCATTTTCTAGTTGAATTGCCTAATACATTATTATTTAAACTAATTCTTTTGACGAATAAAATAACAAACAGTAAAATAACAATTTTACCAAAATGTATTTTTATTTTATAATTTAAACAATATTTAATGCAATTTTTAATTTTATTTTGTTTCAGTTCTTATAATTTATTTCTTCTAATAGAATAGACTTGAATATTTTGAGCTAGCTACTTGATATAACTATTAATTTTAGGATTCTATGGTAAAATCCTTTAGTAAAACTTTTGTTTTGCTATAAGACGAAGTTGCATTGTTTCGAAATATTTTAATTAATGTTAATATTTTTGTTAACTATATTTTTATTCGAAGTGCATTTAAGAGGTACAATCAGTTAAATTTTGTACATAATTTTTACATTTATTGGTACTAAACTAAAAATAAAAAAAAGAGAAAAAATGAGGAATTGAAAAAATTTTATTTTAAAAATAACTAATTGCGTTTTATATGTTTCTAACATTTATATATAGCACAAATATTACGTCACAAATATTTTTGAATTTATGCAGCTTTGAACAAGTAAAATACTACTGATAGTTCTATAAATGTTTTTTTTCCGATCTAAGAAATAATTAAATTTTCAAAAGGATTTCTAATTCTCCAATTCTTGTTCATTCAAGCAGTATACTTTCTGGTAACAATATTTCGCACTGAGAAAAAAATGCAGTCAAAATTACCAGAATATGGTCAAATTTACAATGTTTCTAACTCTATGGGAACCCCAAAACTCTCGGTAATTTTTGCGGAACTGCTTTGGTAAAATTTACCTTATAATGATTTAAAATTTAGTAAATATGGTAAAATTTTGTATTTTATCATGATATCTTAAAACATGGCATAAAAATTATTTATTTGGTTAAATTTACTTTTAAATTTTGTGTTTATTACTAAATGTTTGGCAATAAGAACTATGAGTTTCGTAAACCTGAATTTCCGGTAAATCGTTACCATATGAGCGGAAAAATTATCAAATAAATTGTTTATAATATATTTTTGTTTTATTAGCAGAATTAAGTTTTCTTTAGCAGAAAAGTCATTACCATGCAGTACGGTAATTTTACCAGAATTTTTTTCTCCGTGTGTGTTCATGCAATATGCTCTGTATATTTGTAGTTTAAATAAATGTATTCATTTCAACTTATTTTATTATTATATTTTATTTATTTAAATGTGTTCTGTGTGGGAGTTAATAATGCAAAAAAATTAATTAAATTATTACTTTTTCTCTAATGTTTTCCCTTTGTGTATATATTGACAGAGATGCCTACTTGCTCCGGACAGCAAATATATATTTTAAAGTGGTAATTAATCAATTGTGATTCTTTGCTTAATAAATTCAATTTAGTAGATTTTTATCCACCACTATTTCTAAACAATTCGTAGGCTTATATAATTCAGCACTTTATAGTACTTGTCATGCTATACCTTTTAAAAAGCTAGCAAAAATGGAAAAATAATTGCAAAATATACTTTGTAGTTATTTACCGTTTTTTTAAGTTATTTTGGCGTGCCCGGAGCAGTTGGCATCTCAGTATTAATGATTCAAAATACATTTTCTGCCATCTATTGTATCACCACAATATTCTTTTTTTCAAATAGGTCATATTTGCCTTAAATCAAACTCTGATGAGGCTAGAGAAACTTAGGAATGGACATACATCATCCATGTATGACACGGATGAACTGGTCCGAAACTACAATTGCAGGAATCTCAGTTCTGATGCGTTCAAAAACACAGATTTGGTGAGACATATTTTACCGATTTATAATTAGTTAGCCGATTTGTTTACGTAAGAATGTTGTTCCCTAATTTCCTAATTCTGTAGGAATATGTTCATATTTTGAATGAGAATATATTTATAAACAAAAAAGCAAGCAAACTCACGGCAAACGTAGTAGTGAAACCTCTCGTTAGCGACCACTCTTCGTTTCATAGTAAAATGGTCGTTAATGTAAGTTGGTCGTTCTTAGGGGTTATCTCTGAAATGTTATCAAACGATTTAAGTTTTATTTAGTGTCATTTTCTTGGTGTTTAAATGCCACTTGTGTTGGCTTCGTGAAAATCGGATCGGTGAATAAAATTTACCATCAATAAAAATGATCCCAACTTATATAATTATGTGTAAAAACAAATTTACCAACTATGAATGATAAAACCATTTAATAAAGATAAAATTATTTTAAATAAATAAACAATTACGTTTTTGTGTAAGTCAGCATTTAACTTTATATCATAAAAAACCGTTAGTTTTAAAAGATGAGAAGATGTCTGCTTGCTTGAGATGCGTAGGTTTTTCTAAAATAACTTTTTTTTCTTATTTAACTTTCAACTTCTAAATAAGAGCCTCATATAAATATTTTGAATACATTTTTAGTCTACTTATTTGATTCGATATTTTCCGCATTTGGTTTAGACGTTGTTCCAGTCGCTGGGAGAGGTTTTGATGGTTTTTCCTAAAGGTTTTCTTCTATACAAAGTCTATGGAAAAAACTCGTTGCTTCCCAAAAGTGGTCGTACATAGAGGAAGTCACTTGGTCTTTCCTGGGGGTTTCATTGCATTTGCGGTTTCTTTTGATTGGTACGATAAGGTCGACTGGTTAGCTATTATTCCTACAAAGCAGAAATGTTACATGCCAATATTATTTTTGTAAAGATTAAATAAAGGCACCCATAAACCATTCATAAAATATATAGATCTGTATATAATTTCTTAGTTTTGATAGCAAATTTTATTCTTGAACTTTTTTTTTTCCTTTGTGTATTAAGGTTCTCAAACTCTTTTAAATGGTGATGTGCAGTTTTCTTCGATTCAATCTCGATAAGAAAGAGCTGTTTATACAAGCTTAATCCAAACCTCATTCCTCGTATACTAGCACTGTTTCAAGCTTGCTTGGTTTATTTGCTAATCATTGATAAACCTTGTTGGGGTTTTATTGCTTCGATATTAAGATAAACCTTACAATGTCATCTGTAATGTTCATATTTTTTTTTTAAGAATATGTTCACATTTTCTGTATTCTTATTTTATATACCTTGGCTCTGTTAAAAATATCGAAGTAATAACATTTTCTTTTGAATCATTTGTTATAATTAACTTTTAAAAATGCTTGAATAAAACATAGCAGTAAAAATGTTTATAAACAACACAAAAGTGTATATTTGGAACACAAATGCTGTTAATGTAAACAAATCTGTTAAAAATATTAGAAATTAATTAACAAGTGTTTAAAAAAATTTCAAATTTTTAAAAAAAGAATAATAATAATTTGGGCAAACATTTTTCAAATTTTACAAAAGCGTATTTCATTCATTTAATTTTTCTCAGGGATATTATTTAATTTAGAAAAAACTCTAGACGCATAAAAAAATAGCTCATATGAAGCAGAATGTTGTGCTAATGCGTTAACTGCAGTGTTTCAATTTATTACCTAAATTCTACCTTTTTATCACAATTACTGTTTTCATTTTCTTAAATTAAACTAAAACTAATGATTATAAATATTCCAATATCTCTTCTACACAGTGCTTTTGTTTCACATTGTAATTTCAAAATTTTTTATGGCAAGTCCCTCATAAGTTTTTCAGAGGGTGCAGGAGAGTCTACGTACGTTACTGTAAACACCCTTTTTAACACTGTCATTTTTAGCAAAACAATACCCAAATCAAAGTTCTTAACCACGTTATAAATTTCTAAATGCGAGTAAACCTATCATAGTTTGATCGAAATGCAAACAAGCCCAGTTACGTTTTTCTTAGAAGCTAGCACTTTAATCCATGCTATACTTTAATCTACCACTTTATTGGGCGTTTTTTCTCTCGCCCACGGTGCATTGTACATAATTGCCTCCAGTCTTTCCTTAAATGCAACGTTCAGGGCTTATCGAGAAACTGGTAAACAGTCATTAACCGACCAGAACATAAATTTAATGAAGATTGTGTAATAGAGACTAATGGACAACCCAGCTCAAGTCGTCTTTATTCTTAACAGCTCTCTGACAACGACAGCTCGGCCGATGAACTGTTACTATCCAGGGACATCAACCGATATTTTCGGAGGGAACTGATTGAAAAAAGAAACGCCAGAATGGCCGATAGAGTCCTCCAGTTACTGAGGCAACATCCAGATGAAAGTTTTTTCTTTGCATTTGGAACAGGTAACTATAATGATACTTTGACCAATCATTAATATTATGTATCATACAATTGTTTAAACTTAATCGAATATCATCAAATCTGACTTCGATAAAAAAGAAAGGTATGTACTGCCAGCAATGTCGTTGCGGGTCAAATCAATCCATTTTATGCCCATGCTCTGAGGAAAAAAAATCCGAATAAAGAATATAGTGTGTTTCTGGCTCTATGGGCACACCAAAAAGCTCGGTAATTTTTACCGAAGTGCTTTGATAATGATTTTAGCAAAATTAGAAATGAAATATGGTTTTTAAAATTTATGACAAAATTTGGTAAAATTTGCTAATTTTATCATAATACCTTAAATCTAGGTTTCTTAAACTCTTTAGTGTGGGGACCCCATTACATTTACGAAACTTTTTGTGCACCCCATAAGCCTTGCGCAAATTTAACAAACGCGTAAGTGAAATTCTCAGTTTCTTCTTGTACTGTAATATACTATTGCAGTTTCATGGCTTTAACGTTTAATTTTAAAACATAGAATAATATGAAAATGTTAATAACATAACAAACTTAAAAATATAATAAAAATGCGTGAGAATAAAAACGCGTCGAAACGTTTTTGCTTTTTCTGCGTCTGTTATTGTCTCATCTATATCTATTTTCAGACAGATGGTGCAAAAATATTTGGTAATTATAAAGTTATTATAATATGTTGAAGAAATATCAAAATTACTAACCTTTTTTATGTGACCCATGTTGCAGTTCCCGTGACCCCATTGGAATCGGGACCCCCAGTTTAAGAAACTCTGCCTTAGACGATAAAAATCATTAATTCGATTAAATTTACTTTTGAGGTACGTGTGGTAATAAGAACTGCAATTTTGTAAACCATAATTTCTGGTAAATCATTACCAAATGAAAGGAATAATTACCAAATGAATTATTTAAGCACAGTATATTTCGATTTTATTAACGAAAATTAATATTTTATTTACCAGAAATGACATTACCGTACAGTAAGGTAATTTTACCAGAATTTTTTTCCCCGCATAGAGTGTTATAGAACTTTTTCCTCCTAAACTTGAGCCTTAAATGTAAAAGTTCTCGCATGTTTAAAATTTATACTCTATTTGAGTATGAGTTGTGTATCACAACTGTTTTTTAGTTAGATCTGTATCAGATCTAACTAAAAATATTAAAAGAGGAAAAACGTGATATTTTATATAAAATGTATTTAATAGAACATTTATCTATCAACATTAAAACGAAAAGTTTTTCTTTTTGCACTTCGAACAGGTAATTACAATAATACTTGATCAAAAATTTATTTCATGCATCATCCACGTAGCTACTAAAATTAAATTGAATTCGTAAAATATCATTAGATCTGATAGAAATTCAAAGAAGATTAATTTTCTCTGAGCCATTGATCTAAAAATAATTTAAATGAATTGCATAAATTATTTTCACCGAATTTTAATACAATTTTGCAGATTTCAATCCATATGTAAAATGTAGTCTTCGATAAGGATTCAAATCTTTTCAAGAATATAAAATTTTCCATTGAAATGCTGTTAAATATTCACTTAATAACTCTCAATAAAATTTTCAATTAGCAATATGAAAGTTTTATTCTTTGTATTAGGTACAACCTGATTAATAGTTGTTGTAGTAATCACAATTTTATAAATATTGGGTTAAAAAGAACAAAAAAAACACAAAATTTTTTGATGCGTACTTGTTTCATGCGTACTTGTACTAATATATGCTTTACGTTTGATGCGTACTTGTACTAATATATGCTTTACAAAATATTCAGTAAATTTGATAGCGTAGTTCAAATTTAACTAATGTTTTTTAACAGTTTATGAAATAGCCTTGTTTTAATAAAAGTTCCCCTTATTTGTAATGAAAATTAGTAAATTCCATAAAATTATTATAAATCAGTCTTACATAAAACATACTTTTTGATTTAGATACCTTTCAAATCAATTGAAATAATAAATATCTATGTTATATTAGGTTTTCTCTCTTTCTTTATTTTTATTATCTAAATAAATCTTGGAAAAGAACAGGTTATGGTACATTTTTTTTTTGGAATATCCCTGAAATGTACGTTTTACCAACGAATATAATATTGATGACAAACAATTTAAAAATCTGTCTATATAAAATGCTTTTCGCATTAACTCAAAGGAAACACCAATGTAACAATTGAATTTGTATTAATTATAAAAATAGAAAGATTTTGTATTTTCAACTTCACATTTGCCTACGTAGGTTTTGCACTATACAGTTACAACAGAACAACCTCAGTTTTCTACCGAAATTACGCAGAACCTACGTACGCAACTGTACAGAATGCTACGTGAAAGTGCAGAATCTCACTGGCTCTTTATAGAGCTTGAGCAGTACCTACGTACGTGACGTGTGGAAACGGTCATGTTCGTAGGTTCTTCTCCTTGAAAGAGATTTCTTCATCTTCACGTAGCTTCCCGCATGATTATGTGCGTTGATTCTGTGCAAGATCTGTTGAGAAGCAAATTTATTCTGTTGTAGCTGTACTGCGAATGTGAATGGTTAAACAGCTACGTGAGACTGCAAAATAATTTTAACTTATAAGCATTTCTCACTTTATCGGTTATCTTTTACTATGAGCGTATTCTTCAAGTCCTCTAAAATTTCATTGCGCCATCACATGAAATTTATTTCCCAAGCAGCATCCTCAAAAGAAGTTCAATATCATAAAGATAAATGAATTAAATACTAAGGCCAATCCAACAGTTTCATTAAATTGCACATCAAATCGGTGTAAACAACTGATACTGATCTTTTAATTATAAATAATAATTATATTGCATGAGTATATCAATTACAAGATTCCTCTCTGAATTACATCCAATAGAATCAATGCTAATTGAATTCTAAATTGACTTCGATGGAATCCAACCATTAAAAAAGCGGCTGCAATGCCGTATCATTTGAAATGTCGTTTGATTCCACCACAGTTGCCATTCATTTTAAATGAAAAGTTCTACTTTCTTGTTCAACTGAGGGCGCCGAGTACGAGTCTATTGATCAAGTTTCTTTCTTTATTTCTTTCTTTCTTTTTTTCTCTTCATTCTTGCTAATGAAGGGTTATGTTTTGCGGTGCCTTTGAAGTTATTCTTAATAACAGAGAAGAACACACCGACGGCTTTATCGTAAAGAATTTTATCTTCTTATGAATGGGCACGCGACTCTCATGGCTGTTTACGTCACTGGAAGTGCGGCTTCTTATCGAGATTGCTTAAGTATCTATTAGTCAAAAGCCGTAATACATGTGCGGCTATAAGAGCGGTCAGAAGATTATGTATTTCGAAACCTTCCATGACGATAATGATTGCACAGCTTGTTTCAGTTTCACTATTCATTAAATGTGATGTAACGGGGAAAGCTTTAGTTCCTTTTTCTTCATAAGGTGTCATTTTATATCGATTAAATTTTAGTTAAAAACTCGTTTCTCTTTCACTGTCGTTCAATTTCAAGGTTTTGAAAAGTAAAATGTGTAATTTTGTTCTGTTTGAAAGTTGTGAAACACTCGAAGTCTCATATTTTATCAATAAATGATCCTAAATATAGCGTGTAAAAAAATTGCTAGATAAATAGAATGTGTACTTAATTAATGAGAATTGCAAACGCGTACAAGATAAAACTTCAATATTAGTATTTTTACCTGTATTATTGAATTTTTTCTGAAATTTTTTTATATTATAAGTTAGAGTTTAGTAATGTATCTTCAGTCCAGAAAATCATTATGAATTTTATTATTACCATTACAGTAGCAAAAATTACAGTATGATGTGAAAAATATACGCATTCCAAGGATCCATTCGACCAGAAAGAATTTTTAATCCTACGAAAGTATTTCGTGAAAACTTAAAATTTGTTGACATTTCGTAGAAGTTTAGAGTTTAAAAAAAGCACAAAAATAAAGACCTAAAAAATAATCAGAAAAAATAATATAATATCAGAAAAAAAGCACAAGCAATTATATATGAATATAACGACGAACCATTGAATCTGAAATTAATGTAATTCGATATTTATTTAAATATTATTTGATATTTTTTAAAAAAATTAATTCATCCTTGTACATTAATTAGAAACATGTTTTTTGAAGCTTTTCAGAAAGGAACCTTTCACATTTATAGCTTTTAACTAAATGATAAGGACTCTTAAGAAGTTCTTGTACAATTTCCCAAATTCTGCTAATTAGATGTATCGTATGGTGATTTGATATTCGTTCATAAATGATAGTTTTAATTTTACTTTATTTTCGAAAATTGTATTGAAATAAAATTCTTAATTATTTTTATTTACATTTTTAGCACATTACAGAATAACTCCGAACAGACTAATGTATATTGATTCATTTTTAATTTAATACTTGTTTAAGGTATACAATAAAAAATAATTAAAAATCCTTACAGTGAGCTTAAAATTAATTATTGTACAGTAATTGATTTTTTTAAAACGATTAACTGCTATTTTTAATTCCTTCAAATTCGGGATTAACGGCCCGAATCGACTTGGCTGTTAAATTCATATAATTGTTAAAATAGTGCTTTTTTCTAAAGGCTTTCTCCCCGGTGTTTTTTAAACTCACTCTATACATGTTCCATACAATTTTGCCTTTTTTTGCGCACATTGTTGAAAATTCTCTAGGGCTGTTTTTTGTAAGCCTATGTATAATCACATGAAATCATGCTTTTTTGTGAATAAAATGCTATTTTCATAACTCCTTTGAGTTCGTAACAGTTACTTATGGCTGTTAAGTCAAGTTTAACCTTTTTTTAGTTAGCGCGCTCTATTGCAATTCGGAAAATTGCGAAAAATTTCAATATGAGGAAAAGTTACAGTTTTCAGAAAATGAAAGGAGTTTGCGATCAAAGTTTTTCAGGTCTAAAATCTTACTCTTATGCTGCATTATTTGGGCTCTAAAAAATGAGAATAAGGCATTGATTTTGATAATTTTCATATGGGTCGGAATATATCGCCAAATTGGCGATTTTTAAAAAAGTTCGATAACTTTTAAGATATTTAAGTTATATCTCTGTTCTATATCATAAGTAACTCTTCACGGCGAGATGGTCTATATATAGTTTAAAATTATAGTTTTGCTTTAAGTCTAAAACACAAAACTGTGGCTTTTTAATTTTGATTGGCGAAAGATCTTCAAAAAACCTTATTAATTAGCATTCTGTCAATCCTCATTTGTAATGTTTATTTCTTTTTCCTATATATATATATATATATATATATATATATATTCTTGTCTTTTTTAAAAAATAAAATTCTTCATATTTTCACCTTTGACTAAATAAAATTATTTCACCGTAAGGCATTCAAGTTACAATTTCGAAACGTTTATTGCTGTTTAATAGCCAAATTCCAATTTTTTTTCCTCGTTCCTTCCTCATAGGAAGCTAAAAATTAAACTTAGGCATCCATTTTTCTTTTCCTTTTTTTTTCTTCTACTTCGGTCTTTTATGATGCATTTTATCGCCTAGTAAGGTTAAATCGAATCACAACCAACTTTCTTAAACACTTATAACAGTACAACGAAAGCTTGAAGTCAGAAATTCTTTGTTACTAAGTGAGGAAAAATAAAATGTTTTTTAACCGCATGATAAAAGAAACTTTTTTCTATTACGTTCAGGTCATTTTCTTGGAAATGGTAGTGTCCTGGATTATATTGAAGAAGAAGGCTACCAAGTTGAACAAGTTGCTCCATATGCCAAAATCAAAAAGTAAGTAGTTTTTATTCCCTGAACACATTTATTTAATTTGCTATTATGAGTTAAATCTAAAAATAGAAAAGTTTAGAAATTTTATTAAAAAAACGGGGGGGGGAGGGGAGAAAGATGGAAAATCTAAGAGCTAGTTTTGTATTTAAAACAGTAACAGCTTTTCCTATTTTTTTAAATCTTTTGCATGCTTATAAATACTTATTATTAAATTATTCGTGCAATTTATACCGATTTCTAGTCATAAAATTATGAAAAGCTTTCAAAAAACACTAAAAAAAAAAAAACACTTTAATATTTTTAAATTTATTTCTTTTTATTTGTAAGTGAAGTAGCATTTTAGAAGCTTTACAACAAAATTTATCTATTTACTTTTTTTCGCGTGTAGACTAATTTATGCTTTCAAAAACTGAATTCAAACCAGTCATTCTGAAACTTTAATAAATTCTAATTCACAATTTATGCAATTGAATTTTACTTTAATAGCTTATTGTAATGGTTTTTTTTTAAATTAAACTTATGGATTTACGACTAACGTTTTATTTTAAATTTTAATACACTATGGAAAAGACGTCATCATCACATGACGCATCCTTAATAGATTACAAAAAGTTTTGTTGCCATTTAGCAATTCTGATAACTGAAGACTTCATATACTTTTTTTAAAAATATAATAAATAGTACAAATCTAAACTGCTTATAGTAATGTTATACGTCTTAAAAAAATCTATTAATTTGATTTTGCTAACCATAATCAAGTATTAATTGAGGTCATATTTTAAAGCAATTTTATTGATTCCCATCTTTGTTATAATATGTTTAAATGATTTAAATATTAAATGTAGAGCCACGATGACTCAGGGGATAGAGCGTCCAATAGTCAGGAGATAGAGTCTTCCAATGCGGCAAACCGGGTTCGAATCCCAGTCGATACGAATTCCTCATCCGGCTTGCACCGACCACAGCGCTGACGTGAAATATCCTCAGTGGTGGACGGATCATGGATTAGAGTCCCCTTGCCATTAGGCTAACCGTAAGAGGTTCTCGTGGTGTTCCTCTCCATGTAGCGCAAATGCGGGTTAGCTCCATCCAGAAGTCCTCCACGAAGGCAAATTTCTCTCAATACTCGATCCAGGAGCTCCCTTGTCTTCTGGATTGGGTTCAAAATTACAAGGTTGCGGAGTTGTGCATCAATAGTCGTAAACCCATTAAATTGGGTCGGCTGTTCAACGACGGTTATAAAAAATTTTAAAAAAATCTCTCATGTAATGAATATTAACCTCTTCGATTTTGTCCTCACTAGTATGTATTCATAGAAATTTTTATATTCATCAATTTAAATTAATTTAATTAAATGAACTGCTAGCATATTTTTCTTAAATTTCTGCTTATTTCTCTCTCTCTTTAGATAAAAAATCATAATATGTTTGGTCTTTTATCAGATTTTATGACAATTTCCTTCATTTTTGAATCAATGGCTAAACTGTTACTGTTTTTTTTTTTATAACCCATTGCTAGGCCTCCTTCAGTTCTAGAGACACTTTGAGGGCGGGGTCTGAAAGATACAAAAGACCTAGATAACAATCTCAGCAGCACTTTCATATAGTACAGCTTTGTTGGTGGCCCGACCTCCCCCACACGTCTCACGAAAGCCCCCTTTTTTCTTCTTTTTTAAGCACTTTTCTACTGAAACTGGGGTAAGTGCTTATAAAACCCCATAGGAAGTTTTGCAACTTCAATGTAACCTTTTTCAATGACTAGAGTTTTGCAATCTAGTTTTTTTGATCATCGCTCCAATGAAATTACTTTTTCGAAAGAGTGGTTTATGGTCTTTCATTGAATTTGTTGTGGGAAGTATCGATTAATTGCTCTCATCTCCTTTCTTTTTTGAGTACGCGTGTCATTAGTGATCCAAACGGATGGATATCAAGTGAGAAGTTCTTTACTTGTTTCAATGCCGCTTGTTCTATGTTTTTGGAACTTAGATATAGGTTAATTGCATACATTCGCAAAATAAGTTTTAATTTTTTTTTAGAACTGAAGAGCTTAAAATGCTTGTGAAGGACCTAAATGCTTATATATTTAAATATATATTAGGACCATTACACTATGTTACCTCTTTTTAGAATTTTGGTTTTCTTAGAAATATCTATCGGATGCTGAGGATATAGATTTTATTGGAAAAATAATCAATATAGTAAATGTCATTACATTAGTTGAAGTAATTATTAAAAAATGTGATTACTATCGATTAGTTGGATAGGTCGTTGGTCTGGATGCGGGGAAGAAATTTCTTTATTCACAGCTCCCCTAAAAGAATTCCTGCCTTTTCTCCATAAATTTTGCTTTTTAGAATATACTTTTTTTTCTTAGATATGAAATTAAGCATTATTGGAGTCAATATTCGTATGGTGTTTTTTTATGCTTCTCGCATGCAAATTTGTACCATTTTTTCCTTAATTTTGCGTTTCAGTATTTAACCTTTTTTTTAAATTTCAAATACCGTCGATTTTGAATTATTTAGTTATAGAAATTCATGTTTCAAAAACACAACTATAAACAAAATAAACACATGGTTTCAAAGAACTTTAGAAATAATAGATAATAATATATCTTTAGAAATAATAAATTTAGAATAACTTAGTTTTTAAGAACTTCATGCTGTTGAACGAGTTTATCCGACATAACGACTAAAACATAGTTAAATATGAAAGAACGTGCAAAAAACTAGCAAACATCACTGATGTCATCTTTAAAATATTTGAAAGAAAAAAATTCACCTACAGCAGTTTCATTTTTATCATTGGCAAGTTCTAAGCCAATGACGGTTCTAGCGAACGAACTAATTGAAAATTTCGAACGAATTATAAGATCGGAGGCTAAGTTTGTTCCTTGCAGCGACGTCCAAATTTCAGGACTATGAAACACATGCAGACAAACTCTTCATTTTATTATAATAAAAGTAAAACTAATTGCATATATAAATACAAAGTATTTCACAGAGCAATTTTGTAAAAATTATATACTCGGACAAAAGTGCTCCCAATATGTAAATAAATATATCTAACTAAATGTTACCAAGCTTTAGGGGGAGTAGCAGAAGTTTTTGTTGGTAAGCAGAAGAAGAATAATAAAACAAAATAAGATATTTATCAGGATTTTAGCGAATAAAATACAATTTTGAAAAAAGACATGCTATACGCATATGTATATAAAAATAAAAGAATATATTTAATATTTTACAGTTAAATAATTAAAATAGAATGCATGAAATAAAATATAAAGTAACTTAACACAAATTTATCATTTTTAAAACAATGTCGATTCTGTAATTTCTTTATAAATCGTTTCTGCAAATTCGTCGCATATTCATACGAATTCTTTACGTAAGTAGTATTTTTCAATGCATTACGAAATAAGATAGATAACTCAAATATAAGGTTCGATTATATTTAATAATTCAATGCTTCTGGAAAAATTTAGAATCTTTCATTAAATTTCTTCTTTCTGTTCTAAGCATTTAAATCTATTCTTTCTTCTGATTTCCACACCTTAGGAAATATTTTCCAGGAACGTAAATTAGGAATAAGTTCGTAAAAAATGCTATTTTTTATTGCTTTATTAATTTCAATTTTAGAAAGAGTTATAACGAAGTTAAACATCATTTCAAAACTTTACTTTCCTGTAGCAAGTAATCTTAAAATAATTTTAATTCAAATGCATAATTTACGAGCTAAAACGAGGCGTTCTAGAATTCCGATAACCGAATTCAAATCAGATCTTTGTCCCAACTCTCTAAAGATTTGCTATCTCCCTGTTTAAGCCATCAGAAGATTCGGTAACCGACTTCTTGACTGAACTGTCACCTCATTAAAGGTTGACTGATGATCTGGGGAGGAATTTCACACTCCATCCCCAGGACCTCCAATTAGCAACTTCAAAGCTGAAGTCCACCCCATCTATTTCTCTTTTCCAACCCTCGGGGGTCTCACGAGTATTAACTGAAAAAAAAATCCATTTTTTTTCGCACTTTTTGACATGATGTTTTTAGTGTGGTATCGATTGTATTAAGTTCTTTTTAATTTGAATGGAGAGAAAAAAAATTGAAATTTTTTGCTGATTTTATTTTTCTATTTGGGATACAAATTCATATGACAAGCAGTATTTAGCATGGGACATTTTTAGCAGTTGATAAAGTTAACGAATCTTTCTCTTCAGAGGATTGTCTAGTAGCCAAAAAATTTTATTTCTATATTGTCGAGAAAAAATCTAATCAAAAAATGATGAATTATCATGTTTAATCAACTCATATATAACTTCTATTACGTCAGTGAAACGTTTAAAAGGGATTCTTTAAAATATGCAGATCTATATCTACAATGTAACGATTTCTGGCAAAAAGTACCCGCAATCCCTTTCTGTCATTAAAAGGTAATTTTAATTTATTTAATTATTTTAAAACTTAAAATATAACTCTTTAGGGACACAGTCTGTTAACCTTATTCTGTTGCAAATCTTTATTTATTTTGAAATTAGGGTTGTATTTTTTTTCGGATGCACGCCCTCTTTTAACTCAGTGGCGATTTTAATTTTTTTTAAATTAATTAAATTAAACTAATTTTAAAATTATTTTTAAAAAATTCCATGTCCGATGCGTCTCTCACGTTCAATTTCGAATTTTTATTTTTTTATTTTATTTCTATTGAAATTTAACCATAATTTTAATTTTATTTAATTATTTGTCTATTTTTAAATTTAAGTTTCTGGATTGAGTTTTATTTTTTTTATTTTATTTCTATTGAAATTTAACCATATGTCCGATGCGTGTCTCTCGTTCAATTGCATATTTTTATTTTTTTTATTTTTATTTCTATTGAAATTTAACCATAATTTTTAATTTTATTTAATTATTTGTCTATTTTTAAGTGTAAGTTTCTGGATTGAGTTTTATTTTTTTATTTTATTTCTATTGAAATTTAACCATATGTCCGATGCGTCTCTCT